TGGGGTTAGTGAATATCTGATGTATTCGAAGGCCATGTGCATGACGAGTATAAAACCCACATGATCGTACAGAACTTGAGCGCACAATTAGTGGAAAAAGAAAACCGTTGACAGGAATGTGGAATGAGCGCATGGACTAATTTTCAGCCAGATTGTGTCGAAGCCCCGACCTTTAGAACCACAAACGAGTACAGAGTATGCGGTGCCGTGCGCGCAAGAAGTATACAGCATGTTAGATGTGCGTGATCAAAGGTGACAGGCAGCAAATTCCAATCACCCAAAAATAGATGTAGCGACAGTGCTGGAACTCAAGGGACTGTGCAGTGGAATAGTCAGAAATGAACAGAAACACAGTTTTTTCACTAAATAACCACATGCGACGGAGAGACCAAACAGCGACAGTCCTAAGTGCTCAGTGCAGCAGAATACGGACCTAGCGCGCACGCAGTGCCTGATGAAAGATGGATGGGAAATCCACTGTCGAGTCTTGTTGTAGACAGACTTGTTTTCAAATGAACCTCGGTGAATCAAATCCAACCTTACCGCACTGACAAGCGTTGCTCACGGATCTTAGTGGCATAAGTGATCAATGCGTTAGCCGTTAACCACTAGGGCCCCGAGTTCCACCCCAGCTCAGGCTATCTCCATCTGATGAGTCCAAACCAGGACGAAACCGGTCATGGGGTGTCAGGGTTGACAGGAGCAACACTGAAACATCTCCAAATCCAAAGGACAGTATCTGAGATCTGATGCTCAGTTTCAGCACCGCACATTGTGGCCAAATTCATCCGGATTGGGGATCGAGCCTGGGAAGCTGGGTTCGCCGATAGATGGCGGGAGTAAGGTTTGGCGCATCGAGTAGGAGTTCACTGATTGGCCCTGGAGCATTTATTGCATGTTACGAACTGGGACACGAAATTTCCAGCTAGCCCGTGATTCACGGAATTTTCGCTTGTTTGGAAGCATCGGATAAAAACTGGAAAGGTTAAAATAATCGAAACAGGAGAGCAACTATTTTTTCGGACAAATATCTTACCGCTAGGTTTGTAGGTACAGGGAGTAACGCTTTGGCACATCCACTGTGTAATCTAGCGAAATGTCAGGTTGAGTCATAAATCACCTTGCAATAAATTCGGTCGTTGGAAGTGAAGCCGTGAAGTGAAGGCGTGGTTTTGCTAACGAGAAGATCCCCATTCGGTACATCCTAACGCTTAGAAGACAGTAGTGTCCAAAGCAAAACAGGTTTGTTTTCAGACTCCGTTCGCTGGTGTAATCGCTAACCGACCGATCGGACAAGTGAAGTAATGCTGACCAGATGACAGGACAAAAGAAACCGGAGGAAACCGATCGAAAGAGCTGATTACACACGGTTTATGATGTGCTGTGCGCTTCGAGATCCACCGAGTTAATGGTAGCCCAGATGTGAGGGCATGTCATCGAGTTTCTTACTTCTAAAGGAGGGCTATTGTGTTGCGTTGGTCGGGATCGTTCATTGCATATTGTGGACAGGCCAAGATGGTTTACCAGACTTGGATGGTATTAAATTCGAGGGGGACAGTTTTTGAGCTGATAGGGAGGAACGAGGTTTCTGATGATTGAAATGCTGCTGGATGGTCTCGTATTTTTTAGTTTGGGGCGGTGAAACTCATGGCTCATAACCATCGCCCATAGTGCGCTATCAGCCGTCCGCTAACCGTAGTACCTGTTTTTAGGGCTGGTACAATGCTGGGTGGAAATTATTGAGAATACCTGTAGCTCGGGATGTGGATGAAAAGTTTGTCCTGTTCTCCGAGCTGCGCAATTCTGTTGCAGACGTTTCGTTACCAAACTAGGTAACATCTTCAGTGCAGCTATTTGATGCTGATTCGTGAAGTCTCGCAAACCAATGCTGGGTTCTCCGCGAAGTAAGGTAAGAGCTCTCAGAAGGCTGCATCTCTGACGCCGCCTTCCCTTCACGCCATCGTTAGCTGTTTGCAACCGTCTTCTGTGGACAAGAGGAAGGCGCCCCTTCTCCAAACAGGCTCCTATTTTGCAGTAACAGAGGCGACTTTGTCTACGGTTGTATGTAAACGAAGAACCGATACAAGGCGCAAATGCGTTACTGCCGCTGTTGAGAATGAGTCATCCAGTTTGAATGCGCACACTTTTTCGCTGTTTACTGATTATAATGAAGAAATGAACGCTTGGCAATGCGGCCGCTGTGCCTTGGCACTCAGAGCAAAGTTAGCCACCTGAAACTGGTTACTGGATGAGTAAGAGACATGGGTTTATCTTTTTGTGTTTACCATTAGCTGTTCGCTGGAAGTTGTCAGGTTCACCAGCTAACCAGTAGAAGCTGCCACTCTGATCTAAGTGGGGATTTGTTTGACTAAACAGCGTGACAATGTGAGATGATGCAGCCATTATGTGCACTCTTTTCAATCACCTGCATGCAACCAGCAAAACCACAGGCTCCTTGAGGTCACTGTTATCGATCAGAAGCAAAACAGCCGACACAGACACTAGGCTTAGCGTGGTGATATGAAGCAAAATAATTGGTCCCAGCTTGGCCACCAATCAACTGCATGCGAGTTTGTTTCTGAATCCTCCATTGGTTACATGCAAGTTCTAGTAGGGAGTGTACGAAATGACAACGTCAGTACATAATCTTCGTCTTGTGTTATTCATATTGGTAAATACAAGAGAATTTAATGCTTTGAACTGAGCATTATTCAAACAACATGCAGTTTGTACACCCCACCCAGTAAACGATTACACTCCATAAAGGAATATCTGAATGGTTATGAAAAGAAATGATGGCTATCACAAACCAAAAATTCATAATGACCGCATATGAAGCTGAAAATCATAACAAGTCATAGCGGATCGTTTGGATACACCTGTTTGCTATCGCTGGTCTAAGAGCACCCCGACACAAAATCATCGATCGCTCGCTATTCACTCTGAATCAGTGCATAAATTCATGACTTCACATGCTGTAACATTTATTATCACAGGAAATTGCGACACATGCATATTGGACTCTAGAGATTGCCATTCATCGGTATGTATGCTATGCGCAGAAGCGGCAATGTGTCGGCAGCATGACAGACATACCGTTAAGGAGACAATGACCGAAACCTCGTCTTGGTCTCATACAGCGTTGTCACACGGCACATACTGCGGTGGAAATCGAATCCGACCCGCATGCGTTCGGATCTCATTTATACGGGTTTGCACTGAAGTTAGGATGTGCGGGTGTGTGTGTGTGCATGAGGAGCAACGCAAGGCAAACATGGTCCTTCTCTTTGTGTACAAGCAATCTGTGGCTATTCGCGATCACTGTGACAGCAGGATCCGGATGCCAGCAACCACTGCTAGGCATGCGTTGTAAATACGTCACTTAGTTGGTGAACGCTTCAAGAGAATGCTAATGGATGCATGTTTCTAAGTGATCGGAACGGTTAACGTCAGCTGATGTGAGGATTCAGTGGAAGCGCGGCTTGGCTTGCGTGTATTCGCGGGCCAATACGGCATAACGAATGGCGGTTGAACTGATCGCTGAGCTTGGCAATTTTGATACAAACGTTTCGTCACCATTCGAGGTGACGTCATCAGTGCGTAGTGGAGTGGCGTGCAGTAGCGTAGAGGAGACTCCCACCGGGGCTCCTCTATGCCACTGCACGCCACTCCAATACGCACTGATGATGTCACCTCGAATGGTGACGAAACGTTTGCAACAAAATTGCTATCTGAACAACCTGAGCTACAAGTTTTCAATTCTATAACCACGGTATTAAGTATTTTTTTAAAACCGCCCAAAAGTAAAGTATTAAACGGTTACAAGTCAGGCTCAAGATTGATTCGTTAGGAAAATGGCAAAGATCGAGGCTACTTCTGTATAAAACTAAGTCAAAGGAGGCGACAGATGATGATGCGGAGTGGTTAGTCCAGTTAAGAGTGTCCTTTGAGCTCGGTAATTCGAGTGCAGAGGTTTTATCGCCAGGTCAGGTGACATAATCAACGCAACCGCGTGCTGCTGGTACGTCTCACCTTCGCTGTAAGGCGTTACAGGACATGGCTAGCAATCTGCATCAGTGGCGGGTCTGTTGCCGTCTGCTAGTCGGACTGCCTGTTTAAAGGGTGTTTGATGGTGAGGTATCCGCGGGAGAATTGCTGATTATGGTGCGCGACAGTGAAATCCGCAAGGAAGCAGTCACACCAATACCGCCTTATCTTTGCACGATAGCCAGCTGTTTGTGACGGTATGTTGTTAACACAAAGTGTAGGCGCCATGACCCTGAATGTTTGCTTAGGGCATTTCGGTCTTACACCAAATCCCGTCCCCCCCCCCCTTTATTATCGTTCATTCCTTAGGTCGTTAGGATTATAGGGCATCAAAGCATCATTTTTCAAATGGCTGGTGCACCGCTTTCGCTGAGTATGATAATGAACTTTAGGGAAGTGCATTGGATATATGACCTAACCTGAGGACGAAATGTCTGCAGTCAAATGACCGAGCTCGGAGAACACCGGAACGCCCTCGTCCGTATCCGGAACTACAAGTATTCTCAATAATCACCCCGATTCGATTGGACCCGAATACCGGTAACGAGCTGGTTGTTCTTATTGTCTAGTGCATTCGTATTACTCGTTTAGAGAAAAGCAGACCCTCGCTATTAAGGTGTAAATTCACGAAGCCCCGCTCGTGAATGACCATAGATTTGGGTGCAAGGTCGAGAGGCTGCTCTAAAACCAATTTCGTGAGATTTCGAAAGCACATATTCGAAATAGACCTAATCCACCATGCCGAAGGCCCCTACATTTATCACACGGACAAAATCCTATATCTCTCCGTTTCGAGGAGCATCCAATTAGTGGATACTGGTGGAATACAGGCGTGAAAAGCTCTTATCAGACTGAGTAGTCATGAGGGAGTGTCAACATACGTAGAAATTCATTAACACAGTCTCAAATCAGTTTTCGATGGCAGTGACAATTCAAGTTAACAGAAACGAACGGGTATAGACCATGAAAAATCAGGAGCAGGCCGATATCGCTGGTCGCAAGTAACAAAGTGACTATAGGTGGTAGCTCATTCACCAAAAGGAACGATTATATGACTCAATATGGTGTATCATGAGCGCAAAATGATCCACATGCTACGAGGAAAGCGTACTTTATTGCAAAATGGGCACCGAAGAATGCCCCGAGATGCAGCTGAATTTGTCGATGCGTGTTGGGAAACTGTCGACGAATGTACCGGCGCATGTTCAGCAGATGTTGACGAGGACAAGGAGTCGGTTGGTGGGTGAACCGGAGCTCGGGGCCTGGACCAAACCGTAGTCAGTCCAGTTGGAGTGGGGCTGGAAGTGGGAGCGGAGTGACCATCGGTACGAGTGTAGTGATAATCCGATCGATGGTACATCTGCTCCTGACCGGAAGAATCGGTGGGTGCAGCGCCGGGAGAGGAGGAGAGCCTAAGTTCAATCTGATGAGGAAGTCGATGCTGTTCCACGGTGACTAAGGGACTAACGACGGCGGAGGAAGTGGTCATGCGGAGTAAATCACTGTTGTGTGTTGCAGATGAGTTAACGGAACGAAGAAACTGAGTACCCTTGCATGACGTAGCATTGAAAAATTCGCCCAAATCCGATGAGAACATCGCTGTCAGCAAAGGGGTGGCAGAGAGCGGGATTAAATATGGAGACTACTGCGAACAAGTATGCAAGTAGACAACATGGCGGCAATCAGGAATGCCTGAGAAAAATAAGGGAAGAAAACAAAGGGCTGGCACCAAGATGGCACCAGCAAATAAACTGCCTGAATTCTGAGCGGTTCCCAACAAAATCAATAACCTCGTACCTCGCGTAACCAGAAAATGAGGACCTTGATAAAATGTAATCAACGAGAAAAATATTGAAAACATAGTACAGAGTACAGATAAGGTGAAGCGCTTGCGATACCCATGGGTCAATTCGAGAATCTTCGAGCTCAAAAACATTCAAGTCAATGCCTAAAAGTAGTAGTGCTATGTGTTTGTCTATTACTCGCGAGCACTAACTTCCGACGCAACCCTCGCCGGAGGGTGACATGGCTCTCACCAGTCATGGACGCAAACCGGTCGCATCGCGATCAGTTACTGCTGGAGAAGCTGGGTTCAAAATTGCTGATCGATTTGGAGCACAAGCGTGGAGTCGAATCACACTGATCTACAGGTGCGTTTCGGTGGACGTCCAAGAGGACGCAGTGAGCGCAGATATCCCCCAATTGGTGAGGTCAGACGTTTTGAATGCACATTCCGAGCTGAAAAAGTGCCAACTGTACACAGTTGAAGACCACTGGTCGCATGTTAATCAAAACCTAGTAGAAGCCGGAGTGTCTTCGTGTGGTAAATCTGACTAACAACTTGTGCGCTGGGTCTCTGCGCAGTTGTTGAAACTTTTAGATCCACGCCGACCCTGTGCGGCTACAATCGCACCCACGAGACGCGCAAAGCTCTCAGGGCAAAACTGCTTGTAAGCCTGAAAAGGCCTCGTAGCCTGGTGCTCATCGTGCATACGAGATAGAAGCGGCCGCTGCTCTTGGTGACCATCGAGTTATTCCGTTTGATAGGAGAAACGAGAAGACTATATGCGACGAGAGGGAAGAGCCTATCCAGAAACTTGCAAAAACGCTTAAGACGTTGGGTTGAGTGCTTTTAAAAGCAATTTAATTGGCGAGAATTGTCGGATTTACTGCCAGCTAGTGATATTATGCAACCTGGGCCGTTCCTTTAGATTTACCTTCTCGATCAGAAGTGGAACGTGATATCGGAATAAGTCAGTAGGAGCAGATGGACTTCGTTCAGCTCTCCTCAAATTCAGAGGGCCGACTCCTGTGGATGATTTGCCCAATCTACTAATGAATCTGTCCCAAGCGATTGCAGTCGCTTCGTTATAGTTTCAATGCTAAAGGGAAGCTCTCGTTCAGAATGAGGCAGTTATAGAGGAAGTAGTCTGATCACAATTGCCTCCAAGTTACTTGCCTCTGTCGTCCTAATTAGACAAATTAACTCCCGTGAAAGACAAAAGCGCGAGGAGCAGCATGGGTTTCGTCAAAACCGAGGCTACACTGACCACATCTTCACTTTAGGTCAATTATTGGAGCACTGCCTGGTTTATTGGCAACTCACCGCAGTCGTGTTCCTAGACAGCAAAGGGGACTTCGATTCGGTTGACCGATGTGCCCTTTGGGACTGTCTAATAAGGAAGAGTGTGCCCGAGAAGTATGCAAATGTTATAGGAGCGCTGCACGCGCTTAGTTTGGGCAAAGTGAGAGTTTACGGCGAACTAACACCGCCTTTCACTAACTCCAGCAGCGTGAAACAGGGTTGTCCACTGTCACCTTTCCTCCTTAACATCGCTATGGACGAAGTCATTGAAAGGGTGGTCACCGAGTACGAATTAGGTGTGGAGCTGCTCCCAGGTGAGCGAATTCTTGGCTTGGAGTATGCCCACGACATCGCGCTCATCTGTGATAGCTCACAAACGTGCTGAGCGGCACTGAATAAATTAGCAATGGCTTCTGATCGTTTTGGATTATGATTTGTACCACCGGATTTCAAAGCTTCCCTTCAAGATTGGTAGTGACCATCTCATGCACTGATTTTCGGTGCCCTACGATTCGTCTGGAATTTACAACGGTTTGACTTCTGAGTTGTTACTGAAACACACTTGTTTTATTTATCACTTGTTCTGTTATGCTAATTTATACGCACGATATTTTTAAAGCGCTGTGTTATCACGACTGTGAATTGTGCATTTTCCAACGATCGTGTTGTTCGAAACAAATTGAAAAGAACACATAAGAAGCGTAATAATTCTGGGCTGAATGAAGGGTCGCTTTTCGAAAGAAATAAAATGGGAGATCCGAGCCTACAAGTATTGCCTAGTGCTAACATCCGTTCGTCCCCGGGGGAATTAGATGAACTATAGTGCACTGGCTGTCCCAGAAAATTTTCTCAGCCAGGTATCAGAACGTTGAAAGAAACGTGGCCTCACGAAGAGGTGGATGATGCTGCGGTATCCGTAGGAAAGTATATTTGCCAACAGGTTGGTCGCTCTTAATGGCACTAAGACACCTTGGTATATTGCAATATGATGCATCAACTGCCTAGTCCTGCAATACAAGCCGAAATGTTTGAGCGGCTACCATTAAATATTGTTGGTTAACATCTACATACCTTCCACATTTCAAACGGGCGCGACTAGAGCTGAGTAAGACTCAAGTGATGGCACAAGACGTGTGTCTGACCCTTGAGAATCCATCGTAATGAACATAGGGTAGAATGATCTGTACCGACATTTCAAAGCGATGCTTCGATTGTGGGAAAAAGAGGCATATCTCGATGGGTACGTGTATTCCAGTGCACCAAATCGGCCATAGCTGATGCAGACGCCGGACCGAGCCGGCATCGTGAGGAAAGTGTGTAGCGGCGGAAAGAGCGACACAAAGGATGCAGGAGAAAACGCCAAACAAGCGGATGAATAGAGGGAATGTTTGAAGGTGAAAGAACGAAGGCATCGTTGCTTCTGATGTCTCAAAAACATACTGAAGGATAGGGTCACCGGCCAATCGTGTGATGAATTCCGAGCACCGTCACGTATTTTGGCGGCCCACCGCTGTCGTGTTCCATGACACCAAAGGTGCCTTCGATTCAGTAGATCGACGTGCCCTTTAGAACTGTCTGCTAAGGATGGGTGTGCCCGAGAAGTAGGTAAATATAATGCGAGCGCTTTACGCGCGTAGCTCGGGCACAGTGAGGGCTTACGGCAAGTTGTCGTCGCCCTTTAATATCTCCAGCGGTGTGAGACAAAAATGCCCGCTGTCACCGTTCCTCTTCAACTTCGTTATTTACAAAGTCGTGGAAATCGCGCTCAAAGGATATGACTAAGAAGCTATAGAGCTGCTCCCAGGTGAACGACTTCTTGACTTGGAATATACTGAAGATATCGCTCTCATCTGTGACAGCTCCCAAACGTGTCAGGAGAGAAATGGACAGGTTAGCACTGGCTATTACCGGTTCGGGATATGCTTTGCACCCAAAAAGTGTAAAACTTCCTTCCAAGATTGGCGGCGACCGCCTCCTCCGCTGACTCTTAGTGGGAATCAGACAAAAGTCATTCAGAAATTCAATTACCTGGGAAATTGTATCAGCGCCTTTGGGATCGAAGATGAGATCACTAACCGTTCAGCAAAAGCACGATGCACTTTTGCTAAATTTCGTTACCTATGGCTCCGGCGCGACATCACTCTCTCCCTGAAGAGTAGTGTACAATGTAGCCGTACGTTTGACGCTACCATACGGTTGTGAAACCTGGCCACTTAGATCAGTAGACATAAAGAGGCTAGTTACGTTCGATAACCGGTGGCTTCGTAGTTTGGTTCATATCTGGTGGAAAGACCTTGTGAGCAACGAGTGTGTTCGACGCCTTGCTTATGGCGTAGGAAGAAGAGGCGAACCGCTCAGCATCGTTATTTCACGCACCAGGCTCTGATGGCTACGCCACGTGTTACGCATGCCAGCCCACCGACTCCCGCGATGTGCGCTGTTTGTGCGCCGAGGGTGTAGAGGGAAGAAGAGATGCGGCCAAGCGATGACTTGGTCTAGAGGAATGAAGGCACTTACTTCGAAGTTAGCCCCGGTTGGAGCGTCTCGGCTCCCAGGTTGGGGTCCGAACGACGGTGAACACGTTTGGTTGAATACACGTGGTGACAGGGCTAGCAGCCGACCTCAATGGCGTAGGTACTGTGAGTTTCTTTGTCCCACCCCATCTCTCTTAGCCTCCCTCTCCAATCACAATCTCAGTTCCTAGGCATAATATGCCTTTTTTCTGTGGCACAAGAATCGGCTGTTAGTCCTCCAGGACGATGCCCATCTGTTACCGGTGACTCAGTTGACGTGCCTCCGTTGCAGGTCTTGTTCCTTCTTTTCTTATGTGTTGCGGCACAATTGATGAGGTGTTTTCCATCTCTAGCTAACGCGTATAATGATGATGACGAGCCAGTAATGGCTAACGTGTATAGGGAATGAAAGAATGGTTTGGTAAGGGAAAATGACCGGGCATTCTGCCACATTTTTAACCACTGAATAAATCTTACTGTGTTGGCAACGCAGTTCGTGACTAGTTACCAGTCCACAGTCGGTTATGCGCAGCTTGGTTCGGGGGTCATGTCGTATCAACAGACATCGCAAAGAAACAACAACTTGTTTATCGTTTCTGTCTACGTCCCAGCTGACTGGAGCAGCAACGCTGTCGAGCACGATTTTTACCCTGAACTTTACGTTCTTTGATCAAAGTGGACAAGTCAGACATTGTTATACGTGCTGGTGAGTTTGGTGCATGGGTTGGCCGCCTACTTCCATATGAACGCCAGCTTGGAGGTCAGCACGCGCATATCGAGAGACTCACAGATAATGAAGCCCGGCTTCTCAGATTGTGCGAGGACAATTACCTGTTCTTCTCCAGCACCAATTTCCAGCATAATAAAAGACGTTCCGCAACCTGGCATTCTCTGTCGTCAATACAGTTCTGGTTTCAGATTGACCATATCGCAGTCAGTTCACGTTGGCGAGATAGGATACATGAATGCAGACCATTCTGGTCAACCCACCTTGACTCAAA